GTGCTCAATGATCATACAGAAGAAAAACTCAAAGACAATTTGAAATGCTATGCTGGAACACATTCGTTTTAAGTAGAGATCAATCCACATGTGTTTGGAGCTAGTAATGGAATTTTTCATTATCATTCTTCTGACTGCAGCTCAATTCAGTACCAAAGCATGCTTAAATTTAAGCACGTAAATGCTCCTTTTGAATTCAAAGTATGGATTCATGTACTGGACTGCTTCCTAATTGGGAAAGCATGTCAGTTTTGGCAAAGATAAGACTTCTCCAAAAATATTAAATAGTAACATTTGGTCTATTTCATTTCTCACTGAAAAATATACAGAGAAAATTATTTACCTATGACCATAGCAAATCAGTAGTATCATGAATGAGGATGACTTTTAAAAAAAAAAAAAAAAAAAAAAGTGAGCTGATACTCAGTGGCTTCCTGGGAAATACTGCAGTGGTTCATCTTCTAACCTCTTTCTCATTAATAGTCAATACTATTAATGAGAAATACAAATATATATATAATTAATTTCATCGTTATATAGTTAATGAAAACAGATCAGATGGTTCTCACTCCCACTAAAAAGCTGGACAGTGAGTCACAATTACTTCTACAGAAAACAAGCAGTTCAGCCAAGGGCAATACATGTCCTGTATGCTTCCTGTCCTGAAGTACTGACCCTTTTTCACAGCTCAATAAGGACACAACTCACCGTGGGGCAACAGATTAAGAAACACTTTGCACAAGAGCTCTCCATCCCTCAAAATAAGAAAGCAGACAGAGGAGGCAAGAAACTTGGCAAGGACCTGCCAATCAAACTGAGGAAAAAGAAGGTCAAGCACAGGCAGTGGAAACAAGGACATATCACCTGCAAAGATTACAGGGATGCTGTTTGGATGTGCAGAGATGGGATTAGGCATGCATGGAACTGAATTTGGCAAGGGATGTTAAAAACAACAGGAGATTCTATAGGTACATAGGTCAGAAGAGATAGGCCAAAGAGAGCATGCCTCCTTTGATAAATGAAAAAGGAGAACTGGCTACGACAGGTATGGGAGAAGGCTGAGATATTCAGTAAGTTCTTTGCCACAGTTTCCACTGGCAGGCAGGATTCTCATATTTCTCACATCCCTCAACTTCACATCCCTTTCTTGGTGGGAACTGTGGTAGCAAACTCCCCTCACACTGTAAGGGCAGAGCAAGTCCGAGAGAGCCTCACAGACTGGATGCATACAAGTCTATGGAGCCAGACAACATGCATCCCAGGGTCCTAAAGGAACAGGTCAGTGTGGTTGCTGAGCCACTCTCCATCATATTTGAAAAGTTCTAGCTGTCAGGCAAAGTCCCTGATGATTGGAAAAAGGGTAACATCACTTCCATTTATAAAAAGGGAAGAAAGAGGACCTGGGGAACAATGGACTGGTAAGCCTCATCTCTGCCTGAGAAGATCATGGAATAGGTACTCCCAGAATATATGCTGAGGCACGCAAGGCATAAGCAGGTGATCTGAGACAGCCAGCACAATTTCAACAAGGGAAGGTCATGCCTGATCATTCTGGTGGCCTTTGCGATGGAGTGATGGCAATGGTTGACCACAGAAAGGAATCTGATGTCATTTACTTGGACTTCTGCAAGGCCTTTAACATGGTCCTCCACCACATCCTTATCTCTAAATTGGAGAGATACTGATTTGAAGGGTGGACTATTAGGTGGATAAGGAATTGGTTTGAAAGGTCACAGCCAGAGGGTTGTGGTCAATGGTTCTATATCCAGATGAAGGCCAGGAACAAGAAGTGTTCCCCAATCTGTCTGTTTTGGAATCAATACTCTCTAACATCTTTACCAATGACATAGATAATGGGATCAAGTGTACCCTTAGAAAATTTACTTATGACACCAAGTTGAGTGCTGCAGATACAGCAAAGGGATGCCACCCAGAGAGACATTTATAAACTGCAAAGGCAGGCCCTTGTGAACCTAATGAGTTCAACATAGAAAAGTGCAAGGTTTTGCACTTGAGTCAAGGTAATCTCAGATAAGTACAGAGACTGGGAGAAGAACTCCTTGGGAGTACCCCTGAGGAGTACCATAAGCTGAGGAGGGCTTATGGTTCCTAGTAGGGGAACACGAGCCAACAGTGTGCACTTGTAGCCCAGAAAGCCAACAGTATCCTGGGCAGCATCAGAAGAATGATGGCCAACAGGACAAGGGGGGTGATTATTCCTCTTCTATGCCATCATGAGGCCCCATTTGGAGTACTGCATTCAAGTCTGGGGCTTCCAGCTCAAGAAAGAAATCAAGCTTTTAGAGAGGGTCCAGACGAGGGCCACGAAGATGATCAGAGAGCTACAGCACGTCTCCTGTCTAGACAGAATGAAGGAGCTGGGTTTGCTCAGTTTAGAGAAGGCTGTAGGGAAACCTCATTACAGCCTTCCAATAGCTAGAGAGAGATTATACACATGAGCGAAATAAACTTTTCACATAAGTAGATAATAATAGGACAAGGAGGAATGTTTTTAAACTAAACGAGGAAATATTTAGCCACGACGTCAGGGATAAGTTTTTCACTGAGAGGGTGATGAGGTACTGGAACAGGATGCCCAGAGAGGTTGTGGACACTCCATCCCTGGAGGTGTTCAAGGCCAAGTTGGATGGGACCATGGCAACATGATCAAGTATTCGACCTAGAATCTGGCAACTCTATGTGCAGCAGAGGAATTGGAACTTGGTGATCCTTGAGGTCTCTCCCAACCCAAACCATCCTATGATATGATTCTGTATAATCAATAGATATCAAGATGTTATAATCACAATGTAATTGTATAATCAATAGATATCAAGATGTTATAATCACAATATAATCAAGAGAGTTAGGCAAAGTAGACAACGATCACAAAAGAGAATAAGTGGAAGAGCTTACCCTTCAGCTGAGCTCACCACAAAACACCAAGAGAGGTGATCTCCAGAAGAGATCCTTCCCCTCTGGTAGCCAGCTCTTAAATAGGTCTAGGAGGGGTGCAGCCAGGCTCCACCCCTTCCGGCAGCACAGGTGAATTGCCTTCACCTGTGCTCCTCTGGCTGACTCATGGCTCGCCTCAGGTGATCAATCAGAGGTTCAGGCCGTGACTCAGCAGTTCCCATGCAGATTCCATAAATAGCCATCCACAAAAACAAAGGCCTGTGGTCTTCTTCCACAGCCATTGCTGCTGGCATCTCTGTTGCAGTTTGAGACAGAATGAAAATGAGAAGTCTGGCATTGATTGCAAAATGGCCAAAAGCACAAGACTACCAAGACACCCCCCCCTTGTCTCTTGCCCAGGCACCAACATGCACCCTTGCTAATGTGATCTGTGGGGAGGGAGCAGACCACATTCCATTTTGCACACCAGAAAAACATCAATCATATTTGAAAGAAAAATAAAACTAAAAAAAAAAAATCTTCATTTTCCAAATTTGAGCACAGAGGACTAGCAACACTACTCTTCTCTAAATCAGAGAGGAAGCAAACCCAAATAATATTTGGTATTGTATGTATTTATCAAAGCATCAGAGAAAAATGCATTGTTTTTATAAAAGGGAGAGTAGTGTCATCAAACAAACTCACACTAAGGGAACATAGGAGATCATTAGCATAGACCAATTGAGTGACAATAGACCGATACTTCTAACAGCTAGAAAAAAAATTCTCCCTAGCACTCTTAGTCCTACCCAGCCCACCCTCTCCTACTTCTATAATCTCCAGTTTCTTAAGTGCACTCACTTCTGCAAAATTCTCCATATTGGCATTGGCCCTTCCCTCATACTCTTGCTGAACCACCAGGAGAGCCAAGTCTCATCCCTCTGCATGATGGGCACTGCTGCATGCATCTCTCTTCCTCCTCTCAAGCACTGTCTGTTCCAGCACTGAACTGCAGCCCAAAGCAAGTGGATATGCATACAGAGGGAGGGCCAGCAGTTCACAACAGATGGCTGTGACCTGCCCCTGCAGCAGCCAACAGAGAAGAATTTATCCTGACATTTGTCTAGAGAAATGGAATACGAAGCCAACAAGCTGCGTCACAATCTCAGCTGAAGGAGGATAATTTGGGTCCAATAAACATTCCTTGTTCTGCTAGAAATAGTTGCTGTAGATAATCCTAGTGGGTCTTTCCCAAACTTCATGATTCTATGAAATCAAACACCAAAAAACTAGGAAAACAATGATATAAGATAGTACCACATCCCTCCACAGTTATCAATAGTAGACAGATGAGTTGTAACCTCAAAAATACTTGCATCAGAGTACGGGATGATGCTTGACTGAACAGAACTAGTTTAATTTCCCAGGTTATTCTTCCAGCATTTAGCATCAACATCAGAATGAACTCGCAGCAAAGGAGACTTTTCACTTCCCAGCAAAGACAGGGACAGTTCTAAACCACATTAGTGAGAAGAAAAAAAAGGATGTAGTAGGTTCTCTAAAATGTACTCCAAAATGAAGCCCAGTACGAAAGTGTTTCTCAGTGTTAGCTTCTGTATTTCTTAAAGCATGCGCAGAAGTGCATTCTTTATTCTAGCCTAACAGGGACATGTTATCTTTACAGGTGTGTAGATGATATGAGCTGCATGAAGGAGCACATAACAAAGCTCCTCCTCACATACATGCACACCATGTCAAACAGATAGTTAATGAAAATCTCAAGACAAAATACAAGATTTCAAGTATACAAACTATCAAGTATAATTTCAAGTATACTAAACTATTTGACTATACAAATTTATAGTAATGTTATTCAACCCAAGATGAATTTCACTACTGAGATAGGCAGGGAGGACATGAAGGATGCCCAAACTACTATTATAAAATCAGGAAGCGGAATTTTTATAGAGAATTTACAAAGCACAAGTATTTCCTTCTTATTGTTAGACAATAATATAAACAAAGAATAATACATGACAGTGTGCACAAGGTAATGGCCATTTACTATTACAAAAGATTAAATTTCTAAGTAGATGCTCGCATACCTGTTGTACAATTGTTGTCAGCTCCAGACAGAGTTGTATTACATTATTTCTTGTTACAGAGTAATCTGTCACAGCAGCAAAAGGTGATCTAAAAAGAAAGAAGGAAAAAAAAAAAAAGCTCAATGACACTGTCATATATCCACTTGTTTCAGTGGCTCACAATGAACTTAGCGCCCATAGGACTTTTTTAATGCATTTCTTTTCTAGTGATATTAAAAACATGGATAATACTAAAATCTATTATTAAAATTGTAAATTGCAGCATACATATCCACGGAAAATGTTCAACTCTCCTTGTTTTTTCTTCCTTAAGAAGCTTCATTTATAGAAGCATAATTTCTCATAGTCTTCCAGCGCATTCCTGAACTACTTTCACACCCCTAGAAAAAACATTCCACATTGCCTTCGGCAGTTGTTTGGGAACACCATTACTAAGGTGCCATTTTCACCTCTGATATGGATGGTGCACAGATATGAATTGCACCAGGAAAGTATTTCACTGACTCACTGAAATTTCCAGAATCATGTCTGATGTCTAATATAATTACTGGAGGAACTCAGAAGAAGTAAAAGTTTTATCCAAATGAGAATGCCATTTAGAGCCAGAGATGAATCAACACTCAAAAACAGTTACAAAGGCTAAACTGGAGGCACAGCTTAACATCTCCCCACACTGTGCCACAGTCAGAAGTGATCGGTGAAATGAAAAATGTAATCCAGCACTTAAAGAAGTCACCTACATGCATCCTACACCTTAAACGTCATGTCAGAATGCTTTAAATGATTATCTACCTTGTCTAGAAGCTTGCTTATTTTCTGGAGGCACTGCTAAAACATATTTGGTTAGTGAGGCTGGCAGTCCTCTGATTTCTGTATTACAGATCTGTCTTAAAATATAAACACAACTTGATCTATTCTGTGTACTCAAAAAGAAGTCAAACTAGGCAGGGCTGGAATTTTCTGCAAGTGAACAGTTCTACTCCACCAGTGTTGCAAATGAGGCTTTTACAGACATTATTACCATCACAAAGATGACATTTCTCCATAATACACTTGCTTCAAACATTTAAAACAAACAAACAAACAAATAAAAAGGTGGCAAAGTACTGTGTGGAATATAATGTCTGAATAAATTAACAACAGATCATGCAGTATATAGATCAACTATTTGAAGAGAAGTGGCTTTTAAATAATCTGGATCATTTGTCCTTTCCCAATTGTCACAAAATCTCGGAGCATTTATATTCATAAAGAGCTCCTAACTTCCTAATCTAAACCTAAAGACAAGTTGCCAGTACAAAGAACTCTGCTATAAGCATGTCTAAATGAGAACTATGGATACAGTTCTACTGATTCTTAGTAGTTTTCTAGAATTTTTTTCTGTGTGCAGTTACTGAACTGTTAGTACAGGCAGATTTTGCCAACAAGCCCATGTGAATTTTATCTTGTTCTAGTGCTCTCTTTCTTTTCCAGAATTTTAAATCCTGCCCTGATGGTTCAAAAAATGACATGAACTCTGAGGTGCATAAAGACAAGCAGCTTTAATTTGATGTAATACATTATACAACAAAAATATATTTTTTCTACCTTTATTTTCTAGGGAATTTAAAAATAAAATTACAGAAATAAGAAGTCTGGCAGAGTTTAAGAACCATATAAGCAAGCAGACAGTAGAATCTTGATACGTAGCATGTAGATAAGCTCTGAAAGGTGCCTGACAAAAGCCATTTGACACAGAGCTATAATCAAAATTGAAAATGCAAGTTTTAAACTGTACAGTACATACAAACTACATAGCAGGTTTACCTACAGTTACAGAGTATTACTGAAGTTCAGTTGATATGAGAGCTTATTAAAGGATGAAAGCTGACTGTATTTCTTGGTAATGAACAATCATCGTGTTTTAAAAAATAAAAATAAAAAAATAGTGCATTAGCCAAAATGTACAAAAACACCCTTTTTCCCCTTTTAAAATTGTGGCTGTCGAGGTTTTAAATCTACCTGAAACCTTTAAAAAGGTCATGTTAACTTATGAACTCATTTTTTCTTAAAATGAATGAAATCAAACCAGCAAATGGCATTCTTTTACTTTAAGTATGGATGTTAATACAATTTGATCCTCAAATTACACAACTGGAATCTATTTGATATTTCAAAGCCTCCAGCACTGCTCTAAACAAAATCGCATGGTAGGCTTTGGCTTCTAAAACTGTATGATTTTCTCTCATACTTTTACAATTTAGTAGGTTTCATGGTTCATGAGGAAAATAATGACATTTTTACCATCATTGCTCTTAGTGAAGAACGTTAGAAATGCCCCAAATAAATTTTAAAGAGGAGGCAAAGAGACTGAGACATTACTCATTTTTATTACACTGAGGTTTACACAGTGAAGATTTACTGAAAACAGCATGGAAAGAAGTGACACATGGGTGGCAGCAGAAGGGAGAAGCTTCCTAAGAAACATAATCCTTATTAAAATATTTTGAGAACTGATTAATTACTTGGAAGGATAAGATGACAGGTCCTTGTTTCCTATGGAAGAGATAAGCAGTCCTCAAGCTACCTCTTCTGTAGTTCTCTGTAGCTAATAAACTGATTCTCACATGGCAGTCTCCGCCAATGCTTCTATGGGATATTGCTACAAATTGGACCACTAAAATTGAAATTCCCTCTTCACTCTCTCCCCACTTCAGTCCACTTCACTGGAGGTAATCGGCACACACATGGACTATTGCAGTAGGCAACTAGGATAGCAAAAACAAAAGCCTCTCCAAGTATATTTACTGTCAAAGGATACTTATTTTGGTAATACATCCTGAACCTCAATTTCAACCATGAAAGTCCAGCAAGACTTGATATAACAAAGCAGTTTCAACATAAACATCAATAGAATAGTCATTATGGAATTGCTGATTTCATAATAGACACACTGTGAAACACCAAAAACTCCTCTTCATTAATATCTGATTTTAAAATGCATTGTTTCAATACAGTACAGAATTATTGACAGGTCAAACAGAAGTGAAGATAAATCCTACATACACCTTTTCAATTGGCTACTCCAGCACCTTCCTTCTCAAGAGTTTAAAAACATACCGAATTAGAGGAATTCCTTGTTTAATCAGACCACTTATCTCCACTTTAAAAATATATATGTATTTCTTAAATGGTCTGAACCATTTCCATCAACCTCTAGATTTTATTATTTTCTTTCAAAAGTCTTTTGAGTTCCTTGGACCTTCAATTCTCAGGTACTTCATATGATTACATAGAAGCAAATTCCCTGTGAATAACTACAATATTCAACATGCATTTTGTTCAATTTAGCGTTCTTTAAATTAAATAAGAACTAAAAACTATCCTGGTATAAAGGCTACATGCTGTCCCACTTCCTGCTGTGGCATGATCCTTTGCCTTTCACTACCTTGTTTCTCACAGGCTTTTCAAAATCTTTTCCATATACGTTTCCATATTCATTGAACCCTCTTCTCAGTTCCTCTTAAAAATTCATTATTTCTTCCCTCAAAAACTCACAGATCTTTTCCTTTTTGCCACATGCACATGAAACGCCTTCATAATTCTACAGCACATTCATGTTTCATGACCATGCATGCTAGTGACGCGAGGGAGCCTCTTAATTCTTCCATTATGTGTACCCACATTGTGAACCTGCACCATGCTAGACTTCATATACTCGTATTCATGTGTTGTAGACTGAAAGCCACTTGACAGAAAGTGCATTATTTGTGGGGTGAATCACTGAAATGTGGTTTCTCTTTATTTGGGTTTTCATTTGTTTTCCCAGTGCCATCCTTGCACAAACCAGATCTACCTTGTCAAGTAATAATCAAGCACAGCTAACAGTACCATACTGAGTCCCTTAAAGAGGAGGCCTCAAACTAGTAACAGCTTTTGTAAGTAAGAAGTTAGATGCTTGCAAACATTCAAGCCTAATTCTCCCAATAAATGGTCCTCTTTACTTACAATTACAGAAGAGTCACACAATAGACACAAATGAGGCTCATTCACTGAGAACAATGAGATGAAGAAATCCAACAAGACATGTTTCACCTACAGTGTAAGAAAATGCATGCACTGTGTCACCATGGTGAAAAGAGGGATAGTCATATATGAGCGGGAAATGCATTCTCCTAGCACAGTACTTTCATGCAAAGCATATTAAAAGAGTGTGCTGAAGGTGACCACCTAGAATTATTCATATGTAAACAAAAGCATCTACGTAATTGCAGGCTATACTCTGTGCATAACAAAGAATCAGTGAACAGGCTGTCTGTTCTGCTATCCAGACTTATGCACTGAAGCATCCAAATGTCCATAACTTCAGGCACAGATTAGAGCCTACCTTAACAGGACTGAAGTATACATACAAGTGCTTTGCTAAATATTAGCACATTTAGGACCATGACAAAACAACTTACTAACCTGGGGTTCAGAGTGAAAGAATTATACCTCATCATTCTGTGACTGCCCACAAAAGCTGAGCTAAGATATCAGGAATGTCTTTTATTCTGAAATTTTACATTTTGTTACTTCTCTCAGCAATTTGACCTGCCTCTTTTATAGGACCAACAATTTCTATTTGCAGTAGGACTTTTTGTTCGTTCATGTACCGTTTTGCTCACGTATCAGACCAGAGATAGCAATGGTAAATTAATCAAACTCGTGCATATTTGTCAGCCTGCCAATTTTTCTCCAGCCACAACTCTGAAAGACTGGAACTCGAAAGCTATTTCCACAAGATATCTTTGCTCCTATTACTTCGACTTCAGCCTAATCCATAGCAGCAGTTTAAGATTTTATGGGGATATATGCCAGGGTGAAAAACAAGGGGTACAAGAGCACTGCTGTGAAAGTCACACCAAATAGCTGCCCTAACAGACAGCTGAGTCAAAAAGTACAATTTAAAAAAAAAAAAAAAAAAAAAGTCCAGTGTTCTCTGGCAAATCCTAATCCATGACCATGAAAATCTATAACACCATACCACATGCAAAACTTTCTAGTAGTTGATCATATTTTCTTAATTTTTTAGAAAACAAATGAGATGTGAGAACAGCACAAGAGCTCAGTCTTAATCATAAAGGTACTTATAAGCTGCACTAAACTCCAAACTCAAAAAAGCTCTGGATAGTTTTCTGAAAACACTGCGTCACTAGTTTTCATTTCATACTTCCCTCTGGACAAAAGCTTTGAAGTTTTCACTGTTGTCACTGAAGACGCAAGTGAAATACAAAAAAAAGTAGCTTGATTATCAACATAGAGTGAATTCATAGTGCTTTCAGTTCAATAAAGCCTCAAATGAATGGCACATAATTTAGAAATTTCACAGAGGCAGTGAACACAGATGCACACACAAAGCAACACTCATAAAAGTGGTTTTATGTAGGACTGTAGGTGCATAAGAATAAAACATTACCTGGGATTGAAATAAATAAATACATCTAATTTCTGTTTAATTGCACAGGTACCACTGGACACAGTACTGTACAGAAAAATACACTTCTGTGAGGCCAGAGATAGCTTTAAACCATAAAATTGGTTTATTCATGCTTTGAATCCACAGTAATGGACTCGCAACAGTAATTCTACTTTAATCATACATTAAAGATTTTCTTTCTCTGGTATACCTTAAGTTTAAGTTTGGCTTGAGGGACTTCTACCTCCTACCTCAATTCTGATTTTTAGATAACTTGAATGCATTTTTCAATTGCGTTTTTCCTTCATGTTTTCTAATGATTTTCTTTAACTATTCAGTTTATTTTTCAGTTGCTTAACAGTACTCATCTTCCTCTTGCATTTATATCAAATAATCAATTTGCAGAGAAGTAAATTGCCCAACTTTGAAGGCAATATTACGTGCACCGTTATTCAGAGGATACAAAGAAACACATTCACGATAACTGTTGTACATAATCTCAGCAAATAAAGTATATTGTATAGAAAGCACTGAGGTTTCAACCTCTTCAGGCTGAAGTGCATGAACCTTGTAAAATACAGAAGAATTTCCAGGAACCCAGTACACCAAAGAAAAGAAAGATTCAGAACGATAGCATCAATTACTATTTCAAAGATTACAAGATACAAGAACTACAGGAACAAAGACTGAAAATAATAACTATCATCTAGCTTGAAGTCTGGATCTCCTGGACAGCTCCCCTCTTATTATTATCTAATTCCTAAGAAGTATCACTTCACAGCAGAGACATTTAGACGCCAAGTCATTCAGAACAGCAGACAAATAGTTTGTTGCTACAGTGTAGAGTATGTATTTCCATCAGCTTAAGAGCTAAGTTGTGTGTCAAGTGGAAATACATCATGCTTTCAGAAAAGACTCTCAAGATTTTCAAGGAAGCTCAAATCTAAGCACCCAGATGGCTTGCAAAAAAATTGAAGATTAGGGAAGGAGCATAAAATAAAAATTATTAAGACAAAATATTTTTCTGAAGATTTTGTGCTTTGAGAGAGTAAAGGGAAATTGAAATGAGTCTAAAAAGCTTAAGGACATAATCTATTTGCGTGATGACAATTTCTTTGCAGAACATAATTACTAGGGAGTCATTTTATGCTCCTAAAAATTCTCAGCCAATTTCCTTTGAAAACAGCTAGAATTCTCTGCTGAAATTTCCAGTTCCTTAGTGAAATTAATCTTGAAGACCTTAAAACCTCAGCTATAGTAAAAACTATCATATTTACCTCAGCTCAGTAAAAGCTATCTTAATTTCCAATAAAAACCTCTATCTGTGACATACATCTGAAAGTACAGCTGCTACAAGCAGAGGCCTGGAACAAAGAGCATTCTTAGATCAGCTCCATACAGTGCCACTATAAGAGCCACAGTGAAAGTAACTCAGCAAATCACAACTTCTACAGTCTGTTTGATAATTGTACCTGGCCTCATGTATCATGGCCATTATAAGCAGTGAACATCCTATGGAAACATCATAAAGGGAGGGCTTGCTTGAGCAGCTGGCAAAGCACGACTCATATGCTATCATCATCATTCCCCACGCATAAAAAAACCTCATCATTGCATTTCTAGGCAATGTGAAGCTGCTACTGGCTGCATTTTCCCTGTGTGACCTGTGAGGCAAATCGACACCAGGACAATGGAGAATGGATGTTACTACAGAGTGGATAACCCTAATAACCAATTTATACCTCCAAATGGTTTTCTCTTCCCTCTCATACCCTACAGATGGAACTGGTGTTAGGCACCAACCAAAAGAATTCAGATTTGGCCCAGATTTTATAGCAATAGCTGTGCAGAATGAAATTAAATCCACGTTCCTGACTTCAGATATTTAATATCCAAAATCTTACTATCTCCCCCTAGTGGCCCCAACATCTGCTCAGAAAAAAATGTAATTAGCAGAATGCTGTTGTACTTCAGATGTTCCATCTTCCTGAGAAAGATACATTCATTGGCCTGCTCTCACTCCAGCTTGGGGATTTCACAAAAAAGGAAGAACAAACCTAAACAAGAAAGCTTCACATTCTCATAAATCAGAATCGACTTAAAATGTTACAGAAAACATTTGGCAGCACTACATGTTTAGGCTACGCAGAACATTAGAGGCACTTTCTCAGAAATCTGAATAAAATTAATACATTGCTTCAAGGAAGCCTCATTTGCACGCTAAACACAACACTGCTAAAAGCTTTCACCATTGTTGCCTTAATTTTTAATTTCTTGGAACTCCTTGGTTTGATCAGCTTCAGATAAATGCATAAGTCATTTTGCATTTCATTTGAGAGTAGGATTCACGTACACTTAAAAAAAACCAAAACATTTCAGAGATCTTTCTTCACCAACACTACAACTAACCAGTTTACAGGAATACATTCACACATTAACACTCAGATGCAAGCAATTCTTTTTTTTTTTTTTTTTTTTTAATTTTACTGTTATTTGATCAGCCTTCCAGAAAAAAACAAACTAGTTGGCAGAACAATAACTTTTTTCCAGTGTTAAATATACATGAAAATCTACTTTTTAATTTCAGACTATTGAATGCAAAATATTATTTCCAATTCTTTATCCATTGTCCACAATTTAGATGAGAAAACAATCAAGGTCTTTTCTAAATGGAACAAAGTCCCAAACACTGATGTGCTTATGCAGAACATGATTTCATACTATTCCTTCTGTTTTAAAACTCAGAATGACATGCTATTCTCTGCCAAAAATTGTTTGCAGAAAAAAAAAAAAAAAAACAACACGAGGACTACAGGTCTTCCAGGTCAAAGCAATAGGTTAGAGGTAAAGCTAAAAACAAATTCCCAATTCTTCAACTTCCAGTACCTAACTCTTCCTACAAAGCTTAATCATTTCTCTGCATATCTAATGTTATGTGCCTAGGCAGAAATGCAAGAGCACATCTTCAATTTTGAAATCTAAGGGAAGGCTAGAAAGGAAGGTAGAAACTCTGGTAGTTGGAGTCTACTGAATAAAAGAGTTTAAATTTCAGTTAGGAAATGGAAGAGATTCCTGTTTCACCTTACCCTTTCATAGGGAAATCAATTATGGGACAGGAGCCATCAATTAGATACAACACAGCAAAACCCAGAGAAGTAAACCAAAACAGCTCTATTGGATTCTAAGAACTACACAAAACTCGTACTCTGAAAAAACTTCAGCTGCTGGGTAAAAAAAAAATTAGATACTCACTAAAGACACATCTTGCAAATCAGGGTAAGCATTTTATTTTTCATGATAAAAATGCACTGTGATGCATTCTCATAAAGACAGGGAGACTCATTTCAACCACTTCAGGAGTTTACATGACCATCTTAAATACCCGCTTATGACTATTTCTATCACTAGAAAATTATCAATGCAGGTATACTAAAGGAGAGCAGTTAACCCTGCTCTCACATATTTTCTAGCTAATAAAATAAGAATATAAGCCCATTTCAGCTGCATCTACAGTTCTGAGGTATTTCACTGCAGTTCAAAAAAAAAAACAAAAAACAAAACAAAACAAAAAAGCACCAACAGTAATTAAAAACACAACCAACATAAACTGCAAGACCACACACACACACAGTAAAAGTCTATATTTACACATACATTATGAAACGTATGACTACAGTTTCGTCAGTTTGATTTTGTCAGAGCAAAGAATCTGATTTATGCAGGTCAATGTATTATTCTATATTCTTAACGAAATATGCAAAAATCCTAATCATGTCAGCCTGGTGCTATGCTGTATTTCCAGAAATGTGTAGGATTGCAGAGAATTTGGAAGCATTGTAATGTTATCAGAATCATGTACTGACAGTTAAATAACAAGGAAAAAAAAACTGCCACAAAGTTCTTCTTAGAATTTGTGAGTGGATTCTGCTACTGTGTAAATGTCTACGTTACGTTTTGTAAAGAGGCTGGGTTTTCAGCACGTCCATGAACTGGTTACCTGTGACACATATGGGATATTTTACCTGTCCAACCAAGCCAGGAGACTTTTAGCAGCTCCAATGAGATCCACTACTGATGTCAGAAAATCATTTGGTAATTTGCGGCTGGTCCTTCCATCATAGTGACCACTTCTCCTCCTCCCAGTGATGAAGTTCTGCAGATTTTTGGCAGATGCATTCAGTTTGTGTGAAAGAGTTTTCAGATTTTCTGTTTCCAAACCATAGTTCTGAAATTAAAATAGAAAAAAAAAAAAACAGAAAAAGAAACTTAGCCGTGCTACTGAACATGAAGTACTGAGAACAGCAAGACTGATCTCCTTCAAAACTTAACCATTCCCAATAATTAAGGTATAAATATACCCACTCATTAGATTTTAAATGTATGGCATGTTCTGTTTCTAAAGTGCATAAAAATAGAACAAAAGAAGAACAAAATTATGAGTGATCTTTTAGATGGTTTAAGTGAGCTAAGAAAAAAACCATCTCTTTCTAGTCTGGAGAATTGATTTTCCAAGCAGTAGACCCAGTAGTTCTCTCAGTAAATCTGACAGTTACAGAGCAGCCCCTTCTGCCTTCAGTCTCACTGATTCCTAAGACCATGTAAGAAAAGAGGGCTTGCAATTAGCAAAATCGAACAGTATGAACACAGCGTAATATCAGATTGCTTTTCTTGGAAGCATGTTTATTACCTTTTTTTTTAATTCTTGTTAGCAGCAGAAGACCAGCATAATCACAGACCAAAGAACACAGTGCTACTTTGCTCAAAGTCTGTCTTGCCCATTTAGAGCTGTAAACTTTGCTTCCACTTAAGACACAGTTCCTTAAGCTGAAATTACAGTCCTCTACTATGCAGCAGATACAAAAACAATTTTGCAGAAATATTAACAAATACTACTTGAAAATCCTTCAAATGCACTGAAATGGCACTAGTGAATATCCTAATTTAATGTTCTATTACAATTTATTACAGAAACAATTTGATAATTCTAAAATAGATGTTTTCCTCACAAAAGCAAAGAGTACTAGCATTATTTAAAAAGAGATCTTTTCTTCCTATTTTAAATAAATATGCAACTGTGGAGACTTGAGCTTATCATTACCACAAGAGATGGGACTGCTAAAAGTGCTCCTTGCCTAAAATACATCACAGGGTTATGATGTGGCATGGCTACAATTTCATCTGAGATAAGAGCTACTTGCTACTAACCAAGGTGGATGAAGCGGGATGCAAAAAAACTGCCTCAGCTACACACAAAAAAAAACCATTTCCTAACAACACTCCCTCTCTCTCATCCCAGACTCCCTGGTTTGGTCACCATACTAATCTGTCTATGAGAAGGGATGTGTTTACCAATTCCAGTCTAAGACTACTGAAGCTTATTACTGTGATTATTTTTTTTTTTTTTCCTACAGGCAAGGATTTTTTTTTTCCTCTCTTGTCTGTAGAAAAAAAAAAAATTAAAAAAAAGATTATTTCCAGCAGTTGTCATTCTCCTAATCCACACCATTTACTAAATCAACTTATCTACTCTTTAATTATATAGGGACTCCAGGAAGATTACACTGTCATAAGACCCAGTAAACACAGAGCCCCTAACCCTTCCACAGTCCTAATCCCAGGACAATGCTGAAATACTGCGGAAAACAGAGACTTCAGAATATGGCTTGGATGTATCTCCCACCCACATCCTTTCGATACCTGTAAATTGAACACACTTAATAAGGAGTCACTACAATGTCAGTCATCTTTCCCACTTCGGGACTCAGCTTAAGAGGGAAACAAGCACATGCTAAGATTGCATTTTAAAAATCTCTACTGCAATATCTGAGAACATCGTATTTTAGCTAACAAATGGCTTTGTGGGAATGTTTATAACTGCACAGTTTCTGTGTAGGCACTGTCCGTTGCCACCTCATTCAGTTTCCAATTAGACAGTCGGTGCATTTGGGCAATGACTTTAAATATTCTATAGCAATTATACAACAGATAGAATTAGGCTATAAATTAAAAATTTACAAGATGAAAACAATAGATTAGGAAAGAAAAGTAAAAGATACTTTGTTGTGCAGTTAAGCGGCTCGTAATTAATAACTTATTAAATCCGCCCAAATTAAAGAGATAAACATCAAATAAAAACAAATTTGCTTTTCCTGCAGTTTTCTGCGGTTGCTGTGGTTGAAAGAGCTTGATGAAGATGTAAGGCTCAGGAATAAGCTGGAACAACAATAAATAGAACAAGTTTTTTTTAATTTCCCTTCTTCTTGAGCATCTAGCTTGTTTGGGTGAAGTAATTAATCAGAAAAGAAATTAAGTCTACTCTGTACAAAAAATATGTCATGGGAAGTTTCTTACAGATCACCTTTCTTGAGCAAACTCAGAAAAGCAAGCCTACCACAAGACAACATGTATTTACAGTGATGCTCACATTCCCAAACACTGAGAGGAATGACTGCAAGCTACAGCCCTGTCGTAGGTCTCCTCATGAAATGTCCTTCTTTCTGATGCACAGAAAAGCAGAATTTCTTAATTAAGGTGTTTGTCAGTGGGAAGCCAGTGGTTATCCAAATACTGTGCTCACATTCACCCTCAGCAACTTGAGTTCTGTCACACAGCACCTCTAACTCTTGTCGCACTCCAGGTGCCTCAGTATTACTGTAGCTTTCACAACAGGGCCTGTATTTCAAGTTTCCTAATCCCGTGGCACCATTCCTTCTGTAATCCAGGGGAAAGTGCTGGAAGGGCTGCCACAAGCCATGCCAACCAAGGGCGCACTGATCCCGAGCCAAAGCTGGGCACAGGGCCCACAGATGGATGCCTACGCCACAGATGGATGTCCATGCCAAGGCCCAGGCTTCAACCTGAAGCTCTCCCTTGACAGCCCTGAATTACTTCACCTCTTTTTTCCTCCATCCTCCTCTCTGCTGCCTGACCTGCACCTTGCCAGTTCAGAGAGGCGAGCAGTGGGTAGCACCCAGCAATGATGGGCTGTGCCTACTGCAGCAGAAGCTCAGGTCAAAAACACCCAGGCCTCAAGTCCCAGCAGAAAGAAAATCATCAGTAAAACTAAAACAGTGAGCAAGACAGTCAAAAAAGTATTCTGTGACAGAATAACAGGACACATTTGCATATATGCTTCTTTAGAAAAGCAGCTCCTATAAAAGCTTAGTAGTCTCATTGATGTTTCAAGTGATGACCACATACAAATGTATTCTCTTTCCTTTTTGAGACATCTTTTTTCACACTCAGATACATGGAAATGAAGGGACAATGTTAATGACCACAAAGTCTGTGTCCAGATACATTCACCAATACTTCATGTTTTCTTACTGCAAAAAACAGAGGGGTTCAGTTGGTATCTAAGCTGCATTCAATTTAATCATTCATTAGGAATGGTGCTGGTTTTGGCACAGCCTCCACCTGCAGTATGAGACAGATATAGGCAGGGGTGTAAAACAGATATAAATTTCATGCAGAGTAATACAACGGCTGCTCTGAAAGTAAAGCCTCCTATTTTAATATGTTGGCCCATGTCAGAGGCGGGTGTTGGTGGTATGGCAAGAAGAGGCTGAATCTTCCAAACAATATTATGCTATATTGTGTTGCTGCATGACAGAAGGCAGCAGAGAGGCAGTCTGACACAATCACATCTGACATGGAAGTACAGATGAAGAAAAGAGGTGGAACTGAATTCCTCCATGCAGAAAAGACTGTACCCGCTGACATTGACACTTGCATAATGTTGATAGAAACCCAACAGTGGCTGCAAGCACAGTGAATCAGTAGGTGGTGTTTCAGCAGTAGCAACAGCAGATCACCTCCACTAATGCAAATTTTTATAAGCTCAACATGCAGACTCTCATTCACTGCTTGTGAAAGTACATAGCTAATGGTGGTGACTATGAAAAAAAAAAAAAAAAAAAAAAAAAAAAAAAAAAAAAAAAAAAAAAAAGAGGCTTTCTTTAACGGAAAATTTGCTCTATCAAGTAGAGTTATTGTGCTCTTTGTAGTTCTGGTAGTTTCCATAGAGGCATTACTTTTGGAGCAAGGTACATATTTTTGGGCAGCTCTGTTTAAAGAAGCCTTCAATGAGAAGGCTCCTAGAACAGCAGCCAAGCTAACAAAATCCCCACTTGATATATCACTAATATTTCCAGTCCTCATTAAAATAAAAAAAATAAAAAAATCTAACGTGTCACGTGTTTCAATACTGGGGAAAAGGTTGTTCAAATAATTACTGCCAAGTTCGGTCATACTTTATATGCGATCAAATACTATTAATAATATGCTTCTTGTAGACATACAGTGTTTATCTCTAAGCAACGTAAAAAGATAATTGCAGGCAAAGATGACAATTCTTTTGTTTTTCCCTACTCTGTATTTAGCCTGCACTAACGCAAGTTATAGTGTCATTAGCCAAGATAAACTTATAGTCATTGAAAGAAGCATAAAGCAACCTGTGTGCTTGTAGAGATTACTAGCAGTAAGGCAAATCTATACGTCTGCTTTCTCAATGAGGAGCCGCAAAGGAAGAGTACCTTTAGAGACACCACACCTGAACAGAAATGGCTCTAATGGCATTTTTTCTCACAATCACAAAACAAGAACTTGATGAAGCTTAAGTGTAATAGCTTGTCAGCAGGTGTTTGAAAGAAAGGTGGTGGGAACTATTAATAGGCATTTTACCTACTAATTACTTTTCTGTGGATTCACATGGTAGTGATGAATTGTAGCTCTTTTCTTTGCATGCTGACAAGTAGCAGCTGTAATCACTAGTGATTAATTTTGATTATTTTTTATTGGTGGGGAAAGCCAGCCTAGCCCTCTCTCTCTGCCCATCCATCCTTGCATCAGCATCACAGGCTAGAAAGAGAGTTAAGTTACCAAACTTTGGAAGTGAAATGAACATTTGGGGGCAAGTTTGATCAATAACTAAAAAATAAAAATATCAGATCAGAGCTCAATTTCTTCTTTCATTAAATGCACTTAAGCCTTTATAGCAGGTAAGTACATCTCATATTGCTAATACCGGTTAGAAAGGAGAGCATTTCTATCTCATACAGTGCTAACAATCTCTGCCAGCTCAGACATGGTGACTAGAGGCTGCTGACACACTTCAGAGTATGCCACTACTGTTGCAGTGCAACACAAAGACATAAAAATGTCAAGTTCAAGTATCAAGAGAATTCCATGTCTGAATTCATCACAATATACTATATAGACATACGC